ACTACATCATAGTGAATTCCATTGAGTGGTTCAAATAGATTGAACAACTATTTGCAGGTGTTTTCCATCGATCATGGTTCTTGAAAATTTCAGCCATTTATGTGTTTCCCCAAATTGGGTGTAAACAAAAATGTCAGTGGATAACAGTGAAGCTGCACTGAAAATTTCTATGTCTGTTCCCCAAACTCCATTTCTGGTCATATGAGAGTTGGCTAAATAACTGTTTAATGACCTATTCATGTCAGGTAGTAGGAAATGTTCAATATGGTACATGTGATTTATTATTTGCGCTCTCATTTGTGTATGATAAACTTGTCTACCAGATACAGCATATGGTAATGCTCGAAAAAGACAATTTCCATCACCTAATATGTGAATGACTTTTGAGGGTTTGCCAAGTGGCTTAGAAGGTCTTAGACAATGTTTTACAGCCAAGGGAGATAAGTGATAGAACACGTAAATTTCTGTGAACCTTCATCGCAAGGGGTAACCATACAAGTTGCCAAATCTAGATTAGGCCCAGGGTTAGTTTCAACATCATTTGCAGGGGACCTTCTGGTTCATTATCTGAAGAGACGGATGGTGAGTTAAAGGGAACTTGACCATCAACCAGTCTAGCTTCTTTAGCATGTGTTATTTTCTGATCTGATTCAGGTTTTCTTTTTTTGCATTGCGGTTTAGCAACCTCCTCAGTGAACATCACCTTTGTCTGTCTTTGCTCAGTATGGCATGTGTTTTCTGATGGTTTTTTAGTGATAATTGTTTCTTTCTTATCATAGTTACAGATACCATCTGGCTTGGAATTCTGAGAAAACTGGTGCTTTAAATCTGTTACACAAACATCTTGCACTACATCATAGTGAAATCCATTGGAGTGGTGCAAATAGATTGAACAACTATTTACAAGTTTTTTACCATCGATCATGGCTCTTGAAAATTTCAGCCATTTATGTGTTTCCCCAAATTGGGTGTAAACAAAAATGTCAGTGGATAACCGTGAAGCTGCACTGAAAATTTCTATGTCTGTTCCCGAAACTCCATTTCTGGTCATATGAGAGTTGGCTAAATAACTGTTTAATGACCTATTCATGTGAGGTAGTAGGAAATGTTCACTATGATACATGCGATTTATAATTTGCGCTCTCATTTGAGTATGATAAACTTGTCTACCAGATACAGCATATGGTAATGCTCAAAAAAGACAATTTCCATCACCTAATATGTGAATGACTTTTGAGGGTTTGCCAAGTGGCTTAGAAGGTTTTAAACAATGTTTTACAGCTAATGGGAGATTAGTGATAGAACACATAAATTTCTGTCAACCTTCATCGCAAGGGGTAAACATACAAGTTGCGGAATCTACATTAGGCCCAGGGTTAGTTGAACATCATTTGCAAGCCGTATCAAATCAGGAATGTCAAATGTGTAAAGATATATTTGGGTAAGCCACAGGCGATTGATTTGATAAGCTCAAAACGATGACCAAGTGTTTTTAAAACAGGTAAGTATATCGCTTCCATGCAAAAAAGTAAGACTAAGCAACTCCAAAACCTTCCTTTAAAGCATTTCCTACTTTCCCGTGCTTTGAGGTAATTGCAGTGCATTCCAATAACTATTCTGTACTGCTGAAAAGAGTTACCCATTATGTTCAGGATATATATGTTCACATACCTTAAAGCTTGCACTACTTTACAGCTTCTGAAAGAAATTTTTCAAAAATTGGCATGTTACCAGAAGTCCTCGTAAAGGGTAGAATTCTTAAAAGCAACTATCAAGTTTAAAACACACATTCGGAAGGAGGCGTGAAGACACATCAGACAAATGAGGCATGCAAAAACACACCAACAAACATGAGATGTGTATTTTAACACATCAATGACAAGTGTATGCAATCTGCAGCCAAAAAAGTTCTGCAAGAAAAGGAAGCAAATGGTTTTACCAAAACTGAGTGTGCATTCACTGCCATGTAGGAATCTTTTCTGGTATGAATCAACTTCGTGCATGATTCCGAACAGATGGACATCGAGTTGTGATAAGATAAGCACATGGTGAGCTCTGAACTTATATTATGCTTGGATAGAAAATCGAAAGATCTGTAATTCTTTGAAAGAGAAAAGCGGAGATCTAACTTACAATTTTGTCCAGTTGTGCATAATAATAGGCTAAAATCAGACTTTGTCCATTTCACTTCCTTCTTTTTCAAACGTTGTCGACATAAAATTGGGCCAAGCGCCTGATCATGATCTTGGAATTAAAAAGTAAATTGACTCTGCAAACTCATCTTGCATCAAATTAATAATTCCAACTTATCTGCAAGAAAAAAACAACGAAAATGTAACTTAACATATGTCCTTGTATGTATCAACTTGTGATGCATCAAATCAAGAGATCGCAACAAGATAAGCACATGGTGAACTAAACTTATGTTTGGACAGGAAACGATACAGATCGCGAAAATCGAAAGCGTCCAGATTTGTAAACCTTTCACATACTGCATTAAAAACGAAAGCGGGAGTTGGAAAAGTCAAGCACGAGCTTTTTCACCTCGTAGTACAAGTAAATCAAGGCAAAACATTACCACTAACCTTTCTCACTGGAATTCATTCGAAAAATGACGACGGTACAACGGTATGACATCCTCGTGCTTTCCTGGCGCAATGCCGCAGAGAACTCTGGTTAAAAGTGGTCATGGCGCAATGCACTCTGGTTAAATGCAATGCATTGTGGTAAAAAGTGTGGTTAAATGCAATGCATTGTGGTAAAAAGTGATGAATTCGAGAATTCGTCGCTCCTTATATATTTCCTTCAAATCCTGATTATGTTGCTGCTCGCTCCCTTCGGTCTCTCCGCAGCAACTATTCCTTTATAAATTTAAACACGTCACGTCAAGTTAAATTAAGTGACAACACTAGCAAACACTATCTTTCCCGCGTCACGTTAGCATGGTTTGCCAAAACCCTTGAAAGACGCTTTACCTTCTTATGCTTTACTACATATTAGCTCTTTTGTATTCTATTGGAAATAGATGACTATTATAATTTATTGCAATTTAACAATTACACTTTGTTTCAAGGGTTTTTGCAAACCACTCTAACACTGGATAACATTTTTTAACAGTGCAAGACAACAAAATCTCTTATGTCTGTTATCATTTCAAATTCACAACGTTTTCACAAAAAATAGATAAATGTGATTAATAAATCTCAACGATAAACCTGACGATAACGTACTTGAGAAAATGTGAAATTGTGATAATTCTGTAACAAACTTCTTTGCAAACTTTGTCATTACCATTCAACCCAAAACTGTCAGTGATTTTTGCTTTTTCACTCAAACTTAAAAACAAATAAAAACCTTATACAGATCACACTTATTGACATCACAGTGTAAAAACACTACTATAACACAGACCGTTAGCTCTGATAACACTGAACAAACTTACAACAACATCCTCCTCTCGTACATTTTGTTACTTTTCTTTTGCATGAGGTAATTCAGACTAAGTATTAGCCTCCACAGAGGAGGGGGGGGCGGGTGCGAGAGGTAAATTATATCTATGCAATCCCGTGTCCCACTGGGCCCCAGTAAGTTCCACGTAGTAGTTTTAGTATTATAGATATGAAAAGACGCAGCTTTACATATCTTATTAATGTGTGGTACACTCAGGTTCTGGTCAAACCATGATCCCAAGTTCCTAACTGAAGTTACGGGAGCTATAATGCTCTCACCAACACTAAGACCATCAATGTTCACTTTAGCCAGTTGCTTTTTGATGCCTATAATCATGAATTCCGGCGTAGTTTATTCTTCATCATCCACAATTGTATAGCCTGTTTGCATTGCTCCATTGCCTCAACTGTATCGTTAAGCAAACAAGCTGAGTCAGCATTGAATGATAGATACAGCTGAGTATCGTCTGCATGCGCATGCGATTGTGGTAGATAGTTCCTAATATCCTCAAAAAGCTTACTCGCATAGATAGTGAACAGCAATGGACCTAGGAGTGATCCTTGAGGAACGCCGCATTGCAAATTGAACTTTCCATCTTTCTTTTCCATCTTACATGTACCAAAAAACTCTTGCTCTCTTAACATTCTCACACACCCCTCCCCCCCCCCCCCCCCATCATTTTTCGACTGGTCAATCCCTAACGAGGTAAAAGTGGGTAAAACGCCATATTCGTCATTTAAAAAATCTACAGTGTTTTTAATCCGAATCTATTTCCACAGGTAATCATGCAGCTCACCAGGTGGCAGGAGTTGAAGAGATAATTCAGACGACTAGGGCACTTATATATCTCCCCCCTTACTGCCCCGAACTTAATCCTATGGAAGAGGTATTTCACATCGTGAAGGCGTGGCTTCGAGGAAAGCAGTTAATGTATCAGATTTTGCCTGACCCAGAAGACATGATCCTCCGGGGATTTTTCAACGTCAGTCAGACAGATGTACAATCATTATATTCTTGTTGTGGCTATTAGAAGGACATACAGGAATATTCACTAACACCTCCTTACAACTTCAATTCAAAACTTAGTGTTACTTCTGAACCAAAGGCTTACACAGCTCTAGTATCCATAAATGTATGTCCTTCTAATAACCACAGTAAGAATATAACGATTGTACATCTGTAGTCGTAAAAAGGAATTCGCATTTTCCTCATCTAGTTCCATTCTGGCTAACATGACTAAAACAAACCTGTACAGTGTTTTTCTTCATCAAGTTAAATTAACAGCCCATCAAGGGATTTTTTTTGCGTGGACTGAATTACGTTAGTTTTGTTTTTACATGACAAGAGACACATTCTTTTAGGAGAATGAATACTGGGCGATTGTACATCTCACGTCCTTGCAATCACACATTTTAATAAATTTTAGGCTTGACATTTCTTGAAGAATCTTCCTTTTTTGCTCTTCAAACTCCTCCTCTGTGATACAACGCTGATTGTGATCTCCAATCATTTGCAGTTGCTTTAATAACTCAGTTCACGTGTTTATCTTCTCAGCGACTGATTTCTGAAAAAATATATAAAAATTATGTTTAATCAAATATTTGTTCTATTTAAGACCTTAAATTCTTCACAAGTTTTGTTTATAGGATCAAGGGAAAAGCAAGATACCATTATTCCCGTTGGAAAGTTTTTTGGAACTTTTATACGAAAAAAACAACAACAAGCAATTGCAATGGCTATAATTGTACATGCTGCACTTCTCCAAAAAATCGAAAAAAGTAAGGGGTGCAAAAAAAACAAAACAAAAATTTCTCTAGAAGTCGTCTCATGGTGAAGGTGGAGGTAACATACAGAATATCGCATTGTTAAATAAATGTGAAATGCCGCAAATAAAAATTCACTCACCTTCAACGTTATGGACAGTTCTTTTTCCTGCCTGCTCTTCCTTACGACATATGTACAGGACCGGGATGTTGTCTTTGTGGAACCCTCCACTTCCTAATGCTATTTCAAGATCGTTGTCAGACACAACTTTGAACTTTTGGTTTGAATAGCCAACATAACCTATTTCTGCTTTTGCTGCCTCACTGAAACCTAAGTGCTCTGCATACGTTTCCACACGTTTTTGCGTAGTTTCCGCAACGCCCATAACTGGGAATTGGTCAATTTGGAATTTCTTAAAGGTTCGTTTGTTTTTCGCGTCATTCATGACCCAAACTACAATCTTAGCCGTAGCCAT